GGATCCTCTACGAGAACTGGGCCATACTCTAGGCTGCTGGACAGGGGACTGAGGGGGCGGCCTTGAGAGAGAAGGTGAAATCTGGAGTGACCTTATAGGAGCAAGTCTGCTGGGTGATGTTCTTCCTTCAGCTTGACAGGAGAGCTTGAGGACAGCCTCTTCCATGCCTTCTGACACCCTTGTGGTCCAGGGCTGGCCAGAGCATCCGACTTCGGAGCCACTTTGAGGCCCTTGATTTGCTGTGGCCCTGTGTGTGATACAACAGTTCCTCAGGAAGAATGAGTCCACGCTCAGGAAAGACAGGAAGGAAACTGTGCCTAGCTGGCTGCCTGCAGCGGCTGGGCACGGGGCTGGGCCTGCCTGGCTACTGAGCTGTGTGGTGCTGTCGAGCTCAGCAGAAACCAGGGCTGTGTTGGGCTCCAAAGCCTGCAGACTGCTGGCTTTGGGAGGACATGGTAAGCTCTGCACACTTGACTTGAGAGAAGAGAGGCTGGCGCTCTCAGTACAATTGACCACGGTGAGCCTGGGGGATGAGGACTCATTGACACTGGATTTTCTCTTTTTTTCGGGATCAAAGTTAGCTCTGCTTTGCTGATGGGGCAGGGAGGCACTGCTTCTCTGACACGTCAGGCGAAGGTGGCTTTGGCTCTTGGTGGAAGGACAGTGCTGATGGTAAGATGAGGCCTCCCTATTCCTGGTAGACGAGTTGGCGAAGTGTGGCAGCGGCCAAGCTTCAGGAACAGGAGGGTGAGCTGCATGTGCGGTGGCAGTGGGTCCCTTATGTGAGGAGGCCTGAATCGCTGCCTCCAAGTACTGCTTCTCTTTGTTGCAGCTAGGGTGACAAAAATGTCAAGTCAGGGGAGAAGGTGGGTGGCAGAGGTGTGGCTCTGTAGGGCCCTGAGACCAGCACTACCAGACCAGTCTGGACACGGCTGGGAAGGAGACAGTGATGGCGTGTAGGATAACATTGGGTTTGTCCTTTTAGCCTTGCTACAGGGAACTTAGATTGCCTTAAAGCAATGTCCTTCTGTAGGGACACAGGAAGACAGTTAATATTATGTTCTTGTAACTTGGGAGTTGGTTGACTACAAATAATATTTACTCCTGGGCATCTGCTTTCTTAACCCAGTTGCCCTTAGTTCCTAGCACCCCAAAAGCAGGGGCCCAACGAGGGACTGAATGGATCCAGGGCAAGCTATGAGCTGCCCTGGCATTGAAATGGGCCAGGCCAAAGTGCCACAATACTCAACTATAAGTTGAGAGCATGATCATAGACAGTGGTGGACATGGGGATGGGATGTGTGGAAGCAGCCAGGCAGATGCCTGGGTCTGAAAGATTCTCTCTGACTTGTGGGGAAAGAAAGATTCACATGAGGGCATGAGAACTCTGGGGTCCTCTGGAGGAAGAGACAGAACTTCCTGGTTAGTATCTGTGTGGAATCCAGCTTTCAAAACCATGGTCTTGAGAGGAGTCTAGAAGAACAAATTCAGACCCAATGATGCCAAAGATAGAAAATATCAACACAGATACAACAGGGGCCCTCCTGAAAGAACATTTCAGCTTAGTATCCAGATAGTCCAAATACTCCACTCTTGGGGGGGGGGGGCGGGGCAGGAGCAGCATTAATACTTGGTTCACACAGAGTTTAATGTTCTGAGCACAAGAGGCAGATGGAAATGTGATTTATTTACTCTTTTAAAAGCTTACCTTAAGCATTTTCCCATCTTGAGTTTAATCAAAAGCAAATCTTTCTCTTCCTAAGTCATTGCCCTTAAGTCTTGTAGCCCTGTGCTGGTGAACAGCCCAGAAGACTGAATGCTCACAGTGCAGTAACACACCAGAATGAAAGAAGATTCTAGAATCCAGTGACTGTGAATGGCAAGGCTGTCAGAAGAGCTGTGATTCCTGGGGCTGTGGGCTGTATGTTCAAAGGAAGGGAGGACAACCTGGGTTCGATCCTTGGCATCCCATATGGTCCCCCAAACATAGCCAGGAGTAATTCCTGAGTGCAGAGCCAGGAGTAACCCCTAAGCACTGAAGATACAGTATAACGATTTCTGTAACACCCAAGTAGCTCCAAATACCAAAGTTTCTTAACAAATGTGATTTTGACCAAATTAATCATTCTTTGCTTCAAATTCTATCAAAAGAAAATGTAGCACATATCAGTGTTTATAAAGTCATATCTGAAAGAGTATTTGAAACATTTTAGGATTATGTATGTTTCTACTATAATCATCTTGGTATTTGGAACTGTCAGTTTATATTATATCGTTTTGAGATACATTATTTTGTTTATATAAGGCATACTTTTAGGGATATATGGAGATGGATCAAAAGGCTGGAGTAAATGTTTGAATGTTTTGCATGTGAGCACTCCAGGCTTAATGCTTTGTACTGCATGGTCCACAGAGAATCATCAAAAATAGCCACGGAGCATTCCTGAATGCCCCTACAGAAGTAAAGATATTTAATCAGTAATGATTATTATGTCAGAATTCATAATTGCTAAAATAATAGGCTCCAATCTTAATTCAGCCTAATCCTAATTCAGAAGAGGAATGAAAAGTAAATATTCATCTGTAACAAAATTCTGGTTTACCTCCTTATAGACAGCTGGAAGACTACACTGACCAATTGTGAGGTTGGGCCCTTCATGTGACTGGCTCAGGTCAATGAAATAGTAAAGAAGACCACTTCCCTGCATTCTTTGAAAGAAATAAACTGAAATAATTCTGAAGAAAAAAATCCAAAAGCCCAAGTAGCAAGCGTCTTTTCTCCCCCAAATGAAACCAACCTCTTCTACCTGGGCAGAGAGGAATGCCTTCTTTGGTTGTAGTTTTTGGTTTGGGAACCACACCTGGTGGTGCTCAGGGCGTATTACTCGCTCTAAACTCAGGGGTCACTTCTGCTGGTACTCGGGACACACATGCAATGATGGGATGGAGCATGGGTCTGCCACATGGAAGGTAAATGCCTAAACCCTGTACTATCTCTGGGCCTGAAATGTTTTCATGTGTGATCACGTGCCCAGAATATGGGGACTGGCCCTGCCACTGTTTATCAAAGGCAAGACCAACATAATTATTGGGAAAGGAACTGTCTTCTCCCACTCCAGAACACAGTGGCTCACTGTCTGTATGGTGAGTGTGTGTGAGCCGGGTGGGGAAATACTGAAGGCATGAAACCCCCAAAGCTCTGCATCACCAGCTTCTCTGCTCCTGCTCTGGCCCCTGGAGGAAGCCCTTCTGTTTTGCTGCAGAGGATGAGCTCTTGACTCATCATATGGCTGTTGTTTGTAATTTCAGTCTACCCTGCAGACTGGCTTATAAGTGACTGGCCTACACTGGTCTGTGGATATGACAGAAGACCCAGACTTTTCGGTCAGAGGTAAGATGGGATCACTCACTGGCACACAGGCAATTGATGATGGGGATGTTTGTGTCCTCGACCCTGATTTCAGAGACCAGGAGTCCATGGTGCTGCTCACAGGAGGGTGGGGGAGCCTCTGCCTTTACAGCAAGACACACATAGAGCTGTGAGATCTGCTCTAAGGTGTATGCCCCCTCCTCAGCTTTTCTGCAGCACACAGAGAAATAGCCCCTGTACCAGCCCTGGGCCCCATATAAACTCAGAGATCAGATGCAAAGGCAAAATGTGGCCCTTGAAAGCCTTGTCCTAGGATGCAGAGTGACAGAAACGGAGCTAGGCCTGGGTATGGCCATGACTTTCCTTTACTACAAAGGTTTGAGCAAAAACCCGTGCAGGAAAGAATGAAGTACCTGTACCATGGAAGATACTCTGGGGATAGTAAGAAGCCACACACTGCGAGGAAGTATTTGCCAAAGATATAGCTGAGAAAGGACTGTGAGCAGAAACAGCACAAAGAGCCCTCGAACCTCAACACGATGCAGAGGAATGATCTGATTTTAAAAGTGGCCGAAGACAGTAAGAGCTGCACAAAAGAAATGAGCTGAAAGGGTCAGGCAGGTTCTGGCCACACATGCCAGGGCCCTGGGCAAGTCAATCCTGAACACTGGGTATAAAAACTATTGGATGAAGGAAGCTAGCATCAAGAGAAGGTTCTAGAAATTCATGCTGATCTGAGAAGATTCAGGAGGGAGGAGACCACTGCAGGCGGGAGACATGGCAGGTTTCAGATTGCAGAATCACCTGCTTAGACAAGACCGAAGACCTCTCTGTACATAAACAGACCCGGGGTTGGCTGAGGCACTGTGAGACTTCCAGAAGCCAGTTCCTCTCAAAAACAGTAAGGCACAATTTTGTTATTACTCCCCTAAAAGAGAAATACTTGTGCCGCTCAGGGGCCATGCACGTGAGGATAACTCTGAGTCATGGACACATCTTCAAATCTCAGGCCTGTGCTGCCCGGCTCGGGAGCCCCCTGATAATTCAAATGCGTCACAGTGAAAAGAAATGGGAAACACACTTCCTTAATCGCATGGGCTACCTCTCACACATATGGGCATGGGCCACAGGGCTGGGTGACCAGCGTCACACGTCCACACCAATACAGCTCTGCTGAGTATCACCTGCCAGAGTCCAAGTAGACTGGTCTCTGTTGGTCAACGGAGACTCATTCTGGCAGCCACTCTCTCCCTCAGCACACATGCAGTGCTACCTTTCACTGGGGTCACTTAGATGCCCATCATCAACACAGACTGTGTTGCCTCACGTACTGTCCACTACCAGACCCCAGCTCTGACTGTCACATGAGCTGAAAAGGTCATGCCAGGTCTCATCTGGTTAGTGGTAGAACTGCAGAAATGCAGAGCGAAGCCCTAGGAAGTGGTGTCCTTCAACCTCCCCACCCCTGCAGCTAGCATCCCTCCTGCCATCAGGAATCAAGTGTACAGATAAGTGGATTGGAACCCTGGTCCACCAAGATCCAACCTGGTACAGGACTGGCTGGTCCATACACCAGCACCAACACAGTACACGATGAGTCAACCAGCAGATGAAGTTGGCAAACACTTACCCTCCTTCACTTTCTGCATCCTCTGAGCTGTTGCTGGTGGCTGGACGCTGCCCAGGGACTGGCCGCCTTTTCCGGGCTCTGTGCTGGGGGCTGGCCCTGGGTAGTGCTGTCTTCCCACCCAGTTCCCCTTGTATGTAATCCTCCAGTTTTGGGAGGGTCTCCTTCAAGGCCCGGACCTCCTCTCGGAGGGCCTCCAGATGGGTCACCAGTTCATCCAGTTTGTCCAGTATGTTTAGTTGCTGGCCTTGAAAGATGCCCATGCCTTCGGGGTCTCCGCGAAGTTTGTGGTGCCAGAGTGTGGGACCCGGAGGAAGACAAACAGGTGGCTCGGCTGAGGCCCGAGGTCTGCGGCCCCGGTAGTACCACAAGAAGAGGCTGATGCCGGCTGTCCCCACCAAGAGCCCAAGGATCAGTTCATTGCTCGTGGAACGTGGCATTTCTTGGGGTTACTCCTAAAATTCAAAGAATACAGAGCAATGTTGTTGCTGTCTTTACCCAAAATCAAAATAATAATAGCGACTTTTTAAAATCAATACTTAGGACCAGAAAGAGAATCTAAGGCTAAGGCTAAGTGGCAGACCCCAGTTGGAACCCTGGCACCCTCGAGTGTCCCCTGAGCAGAGAACCAAGAGTAAGCCCTGAGCACCAGAACCCCTACTTTTGGGAAAAAAAAAAAAACAACCTGGGAGGCTTTGGGTCAGGTGGTCCTGGGCAGAGTCTCATCATCCTGTTGATGACAAATAAGGATGTCAGTTGGCTGGCTGGTGATCACTAGTGTGCAGGGCACAGTGGTCATTGTTACTTCTTACCCATGCCTCATGTAAATAATCAGCTTGAATTAGATTCACTGTCCACAGGACGGAGCTCAAAGGGGCTTTAGCAGTTTGGCCACTTAGCTTTAAGGGCATGACAGAGGCAGAAGGGCCATCTACAACTTTACATCAGTCCTTGCTGTGTCTGGGCTGGGTGGGGTGGAGTTGGGAGCCTGGAGCTGAGAATCCAGACCCAGCCCTAAGCATGGCCAAATACTGGAGTGGAGCAGGGGCTGGGGGGTGGGGTGGAGAAAGCCTGCTGGTAGCCCCAAAAGGCCATTTCCCAGCAAAGGACGATGACTGGGGTCACAGGGGACTGTCTCTAAAGATGCTGAGAACCAGAGTAGAACTTTGGGTGAGTGAGGACCAGGGGCTATGAGTGGAAGCCTCAGTGGGGCAATGGGGCTCAATGGACCCCAAAGGGAGAGAATATTGATTTGTTCGCCCTCCCCCCTGAGGCCTCCAGAGGGTCAAAGAAACCCTGAAGTAACCTAGCCCTGTCAGTACAACAACCAGGGAAAGAAATCCAGACCCCCAACATGCTGTCCCCACTGCGGACCACCAATAACACACAGCCAGATGCAGAACGGGGAGGGGTGCACTCGAGGCAAGGCCACAGAACTGGCCAGAAACATGCTTGTCACTGGAAGGCCTGGAAGTATGTAAGACAACACAAGATGTGGGAGACAGTGCCTTCTAACAGAGCTGAGAAAATGAAATAGCTGAAAGAATGACTGCGTGGGAATAAGGAAGGAAAAATGCCCGGGGTGGGGGCAGCCAACCCAGAGATGTGACACAGACCCTCTTCTCTCTACCCCCTGCCCCCCAACTCTCATGGGGACCCTAACTCTGGAGCTTATAATCTTGGGAGCGGGACCCTTAGGGGGCTGAGCATTTTGGAGGCAGAGCCTTGTAAGACTGCGGAAGGTATCTTCTCCCTTCCCCTGTGCTGGGAACTATGGCTGAGACCTCATTAGTCACAGCTCTGATATCCATGATCTTGGGGTTCTCAACACTAGATATAGCATGAGACTAAGCACCATCTGGATGAAGCCCACAGATGAAATGTGCAAGCCTGCGGGGGCAGCCCTGCACCCCCAGCAGTCTCAGGGTACAGACATGAATGTCCCAGTCACAGGGCAGCTGGGCAGTGGGCTGAACATGTATATGACGAGCTAAAGCAGGGACAGTGTTGATGGGTATAAGCAGGGTGGAAGAAGGAATCTCAGAGATGCCAGTGAACAGGAGAGGGGTGCAGGGAGGGCACACGGGCAGGATGACTCAGTCGCACCGGAAAAACCATTCTTGCAGGAGAATGAGAAAGTGAGAGCTTTAAAGAGTGCCAGGAAACGCCTGCTGAGGCTTCTAGGGAAATGGCTACAAACTGAAATAAGACAGGCTGGAAGATAGAGAGGCTCAGGAGTCATCAGTAGCCAGTGGAGAGCTATACATGGAATTAGGGATGCAGGCAGACATGTGTGGGGACAGGAAGTGTCTTGTCCCCATCTCCAGGGCTCTTTGTAAAACACCTCAGCCAGGCAAAATGGGAAACATGCAGAACAAACTGCCAGCAAGCACAGCCCCCAGGATAAGGGGCAGAAGAAAGGCTGGGGAGGTCTCAGATGATGATGAGTTCAGTGACACAGCCAAGATGCTGCCATGGACCCCAGTGAGGTCACTAAACTGGGAGTTACCACACCAGCTGCCAAAAGGCACAAAGAAGTGGAGGAGATAGACATGGGTCACTTAAGAGTGCCATTGAGGCTGAGAGAAATCCGAAAAGGGGGAATAAAAGACAAAGGGGCCAGGTGGCCAGGGAGGTCATTCATGTGGCTGGACACACCCACGAGGCCCTGGGTTCAATCCCTAGCACCACAACCCCCTGCCCCCATGGCACTGCCAGAAGCACCACCACATGGGTGGCATCAAGAAAGATCTGTAGGGGGAAATGGTACTGAAAGACAGAGAAATGACCCTTTTGTTGACCCATGCAAAGATAATTTTTGTTTGTTTTTGGTGTTTGAGCCATATCTGGCTGTGCACTGGGATTACTCCTGGCTCTGTGTTCAGGGATCACTCCTGGTGGGAATCAGGGGACTATAAAGGGGTACCGGGTATCAAATCTGGGTCTCCTGCTGTGTAGTTTTTTTAAAGATGTGTCTATTAAACACAATTCTCAAGTTAATGGTGCACATAACATGATGACCAAGGGCTCGTGTCCCTTTGGTCCAAGTTGCAGTTTGTGGGTCCCCAGTGACAATACAGGAGGCAGGGCACCTGCCTTCCAGACAGTTTGATCCCAGACCCCTTTGGGTACCCAGCTGGGGGAAAGTCCTGAGCCCCTGCAGGGTGGGCCCAGATATCTACCTGAATAAACGAATAAAAACAAGTCTTGGGAGGGAAACTAGACAGGCGGCTTCGGCTGAAGGACAATGAAAAATCAAGGTGCAAAACGGGACCAAAGGTTCGGGCTGAAGATAAGAACCAAGAATCCAGGGGAAGGAGAAACCCTCAAAATGCCTGTGACACACGGTCGCGCCGCCTCAGGTGACTTCATGCCTGTGAGCTGCAATCCCAGGCGCCGCCTCAGGTGACTGCCTGTGAGAAGCTGCCGCCTCAGGTGACTCGGTTCCCCTGAGCCGCTGTCCTCGGCGCCGCCTCAGGAGACTCTGTGTCCCTGAGCCACTGTCCCCGGCTCTGCCTCAAGTGACTCGGTCCCCCGAGCCACTGTCTGTCCCCGGCTCCGCCTCAGGCGATTCCCTCAGGTGACTCAGTTCCCCAGAGCCGCTGTCAGGTGACTCCCTCAGGTGACTCGGTTCCCCAAGAGCCGCTGTCCCAGCTCCGCCTCAGGTGACTCCCTCGGGTGACTCGGTTCCCCAAGAGCCGCTGTCCCCCGCTCCGCCTCAGGTGACTCGGTCCCCCTGAGCCGCGGTCCCGGCGCCGCCCGGTCGCTCCCGCGGGGACTCACGGCGATCGGGGTCGCGCACAGCTCCGCGCCCGTCCGGCACCGCCGCAGCCCGGACCCAGGAGGCGCGCGCGGCGGGGGTCGCAGGCGTTCCCGAGGGACCCGGGCATCAGCCCCTCCTCGCTGTCACCCGGCGGGGCCCTGAGTGTCGCGCGGGGGGCGGGCGACGCTAGGCGGGCGCTGACCCGGAAGCACATCGCCTCCGGAAGTGCTCCCCCCCCAGGCCAGCGTACGGGACTTCCGGGCAGGTCGCCGCGGCGCGGGGTGAAGCTCGGGCGCCCCCACCCTCGCCCTCCCACTTCACCCCCGCGACCCTCGCCCTTACGAAGACCCCAGGCCCTTTCCGCAGCGAAGTCGGGAACCTGTGACCCGAGGCCCAGCCCCCTGCCCATCACCCCCCTGCGCCGGGGACGCCGCCGTTCCCGGGCCTCCAGGGCCACTGGCCATTACCCACCCGGTTCCGCACGCGCTCAGTAGCCTTTGAGGGTCGCCCCTTCCCCCCACGACACAGTGCTTTGCAGAGACATGATGCTCTGCAGGTGTGACACCTTGCAGAGACTTGACACTCGTACACTGTGGCTTTGTTGACCCAGGCACTGTGCTTGGACACCAGCTTTGGTCAAGCAGTGCTTTGCTAATGGGACAAACTGTCCGGTCCTGCAGAACTTGCTGGATTTTCTGGCGTGGGGAGATTCAGAGCCCCCTGGGTCCTTCCTGCCGCACCCCAGCACCCTGAGAAATTTTTTTAATGAGTCAGGGAGCACCGTCAGACACAGATGCTTCTTTCTTCCCTCCCTGGCCCCAGATCTGTCCTCTGGTGGGTTATACCGGCATGGTTGGCCCCACCCTCCCAGACAGTGGGAGCCCTTATGAGTTGGTGGGTTCAAAAACCAAACCATACCTAGGTGCCATTACACCAGGGGTGTGTGGTGTGTGTGTGTGTGTGTGTGTGTGTGTGTGTGTGTGTGTGTGTGTGTGTGTGTGTGTGTTGGGGTGGCGGGAGGAGGCGGTGACTGTAACCAAAGTCTTCCCCTCTCCATGCCCAAAGCCTGCTCCTGTAAAAGGAACATCTGGGGGAAATCAGGGCAAATCTCAAGTTTCCCACTCAGGGATTATATTGACAGAACTCCGAGGTGCTGGGGATTGACCCCTAGGTGCCAATATAAGGCAAATTCTTAAATCCCTTTTGCAGGCAGCTAGATCTTGAGGGCAGACAAAGTGACTTTGGGGGAGAGTGAGTATACAGAATTTTCTCTCTGATGGGGAAGCAGCCTATGGAATTTGAGGGACAGAATGTGACACCACCCACCAGGTCTCCTGCCCATCACAGTGCCCAGTCCACCATATCTGCGCTCGAAGACTGGGTCCACTCCCCACTTTGCCCCTCCAGCCTTTGCTACAGCCCCAGATGCCTGTCACCTTTCCATAAGCCACACATTTTGGGGTCCTTCTTGGCTCTGCTTTTCTTTGTCTGGAAAACCGTCACCCCCAACTCATGCCAATTTCTGCTTCCCTGAAGGAGTTCTCTGCATATTCCTGTTTTCATTTTCTTTGAGAGTATTGTTCCTGCTGGGTCAGTGGTTAGTGGCCTAGTGGCAAAGTGGCTTTTGCCATGTCTCAGCAGTGTTCCCTTGGGGCGAAGGGTGACAAGACAAGTGGAAGGCATGTGCACTAGAGAGAAAGGCTCTGGAGACTTGCCGGTCCCTGACATAGTTGTCTTCTGAGAAGCATCAAGGGTTTGTACTTCGCATGCTCTGCCTTGGGTCTAGGCTAAGCGGTCATATGTCTGAGAGGAAATGGAACAGAGTGTCAGCCCTCTTTAGCAATACTCTTTGATCTCATTCTCACAACTCCCTGTGAAATGATTTCCAGACTCTTCCTTCCATCCCCTGTCAACTTGCTTGGTGAGGAACTTACTTATTAGGCAGGCCAGAGTCTTTTTCATACTTGAAAGGGGACGTACTTTCTATTCTAGAAATTTGACCTGGGTTTCAAAGTTTGGATTTGGGAATGGTCTGGCATTATTCATACATTCCATTATCACCTCCTTTAATATTTTTGGCTTGGGGGCCATACCTGGCAGTGCTCAGGACTTATGCTTGGCTCTGTACTTGGGGATCACTTCTGGCAAAGTTCGGGGGAACCCCTGGGGATGCCAGGGATCTAACCTAGGCCAGCCTTGTGTAAGGCAAGAGCCCTCCCTGCTGTACTTTCTCTCCCCCAGCTCCCATTCTGTTCCCTTTTTGCTTGCCAGACTCTCTCATTTGCAACCTGAAGTCCTTCATTTGTGCAGGCAAGTTCTGAATGTTGCCACCCACCCTGAGCACCCAGCTCCTGCCTCAGAGATCCCGCCTACTTTTCCAGGCTGCGTAGCTGCCTTCACACCAAGGACACCCCTAAAAGAAAGAGGGCAAGGACAGACCGAGGCCACTGGGCGAACAACAAGGACAGAGGAGGAGTCAGCGCAAGCAGAGATCTGGAGACAGGCGGGACAAAGAGTCCCAGGGCTGTGGCGGCAACCTGAGCAGTCACAGGGGCTGGAGCCCTAGTCCAATGGAAAGGGCTCTTGCTTGGCACGTGGCTGACCTGCGTTCGATCCTGGCACCCCAGATGGTCCCTAAGGTACCGCCAGGTGTGATTCCTGACTGCAGAGCCAGGAATAAGCCCTGAGCATCGCCGGATGTGGCCCCAAGATAAATAAAAAAGAGCCAACACAAGAGCAGCCCGGAAGGCCCCACGGCCCATGTGGGCAGGCGCTCTGCTCCTTAGGAGAGATGTCTCTCTCCCGCAGGCCAGTGAGGCCGATACCGGCATAGGAGGGAAACAGAGGCTGGGAGAGGACAGACTCATCCCTGGCCAGGAACCCCTCTTGGGGATTCTCCTCCACCGTCTCCCCATGACCGGTCGGGCTGGCTCCCATGCTGTCTCTGTCCGCACCCAGCCTGGCTCTTTGGGGTTCTGCCTTCACCGTTCCTCTCTCAGACGGAGCTCTGAGTGTGGGAAGGCCTGGCTCTCTCTAAGCCCTGGTAGATTGAGCACCATCAGATTAGGTGAGGGACTGCTGGGGCAAGGAGGGAGAAGAGGGTTCTGGAGCCAACTCACTCTCTTTCTTTTCTTTTTAAACTGTCTTTCATTTTTTTAAAATTTTATTTTTATTTTATTTTATTTTTTGCTTTTTGGGTCACACCCGGCGATGCTCAGGGGTTACTCCTGGTTCTGCACTCAGGAATTACTCCTGGCGGTGCTCAGGGGACCATATGGGATGCTGGGAATCGAACCTGGGTTAGCCGCGTGCAAGGCAAATGCCCTACCCACTGTGCTATCACTCCAGCCCCTGGCTTTCTTTTTAAACTGTTCCCCAGAGCACAGAAAATTAACTCCCCACTATTACTTTCCAAAGGAAAAACTCTTTCTTTGAAAAGGGTCTTAAGGATCAACATATAAACTGTCTCTTAAAGGCCGATTCTTGTAGCAAGTCACAAATCACTTAAATATACTAAAACAGTTAACCCAATACCCTTGCACTGAATGAATCAGAAAGAATGACCCCCCACACACCCCAAGAAGGCTCAAAAAAGTGAGCCGCAAAACGGAGGCCACACAACCCCGCAGTTGGACGTGACATCAGAGGGGGTGATCAGAGGGATGAGAACCCCCTCCTGCCAACGCCCTAGTCTTGGCTGAGACTTTCAGTTTGGGTGGAAACATCCCATTTCATTCCCCAAGAAGCATGCCTGGGAAGGTGGGAGTGCTCAGAGATTCCAGTGGGTACCAACCTGCTGGGTGATTCCTGGGGCTTTTCGCAGTTCTGGCCAGGCAGCAAAGAGGTTTCCTGGGGGATGAAGGGAGGCTGGTGCAAGCGTGTTCCTGCTCCGCTGCCTCTTGCCTGGCCTTGCTGTAAAGTGAAACTCAGTTAGTGAACAAAGAGCACTCCCTCCTCCCACTCAGGGCCACCCTGATGGCAGGCCTGGCCCTGCGCTGCCAAGGCCACAGTTGCTTGCGAGAGTTCTGCAAGCTGGATGTTCCTGGGCAGATAAAACTCACACCATCCACCCAGGCCGAGCAGTAAACATCACAGAGGGGGGTTAAGTCTGTGGACTCGAGGCTAAAGCAGTTGATTTGGGACTCAGTGGTGAGTGAGTGCTGGGCTCAGTTCTTTATCCATGGGTTTGCGGCTCTCCAGACTCTGTTCCCTGGGCACAGTCTCCGGATTTGCACTGGCGCCAGGACAGAGACACCGCCTGTGCTCCCCCTCCGCTACTTCCTGGTTCCGGTCACTTGCTCTGAGGCCCCAACAGGACTTTCTAGTATTTCAGCTCCAGATACACGTGGACTCACATTCAGAGGGGGACGCTTGGGGAAGCTGAGAGCCAGTCCGTGACACTTTTAGGAGAATTTTGGCCTCACCAGGAACCCCCCTCCCCCATGGCTCTCCCTGCACATGAGCTAAATTAACCCCCATAGCAGCCCCGCCACTCTGCACGCTCCCGACTCTGAGGGGATGAACACTCTCGCTTCTAAGTTTGGGGTGCACAGTTAAGTACCACGGTCGCAATCGCATCAAGGCTGATGGTCTCGGGGGTGCAGCTCCCGCCCCCTCCTCCCTCCAGTGTCCAGGACCTTCCCTCTGTTGCTTGCTCCCTCCCAGCCCACCTCTTCACTGCCCCTCCCCCATGCCTCTGCCTGGTCATCTCAGGTCCATCACCCAGGGTCCAGGGTCCGTCATCTTTGAGGTGAGTGCTCTTAATGGCCCGCGGGTCCTTAGCACTGGCCTTTGTCCATTTTGAAATCTCAAGTCACTAAAGGGCTTGAGGGATGAACCCCAATAGCTGTGCAGCTGACTTCTTTGCTCCTCCCAAGAAAGTGTGGCCCTTTGGCACAGGCTGGTGACCCCGTTTTATTGCTCCCCACAGATACTGGCATTTGCCCAGGGAAGGTGTGGTGGGAGACGGGGCTTCCCATGCGCCCCATGCCTGGCTGCCCCCTACCTCTGCGCTGCAGTCGGTGGATTCTTGCTCATCCTTTCCCCTCCCTCCCTCCCTCCCTCCCTCCCTCCCTCCCTCCCTCCCTCCCTCCCTCCCTCCATCTTACTCTCTCCCTCCCTTCCTCCCTCGATCTTTCTCTTTCTCACTTTCTTTTTTTCTCCTTCCTTCCTTCCTTCCTTCCTTCCTTCCTTCCT